TGTAAGGTGGGTACAGTTGATGAACTAGACTTACGTCTCATGTCCTCCCCCTGGATGATATGACCTATCATCCTGTAAGGTGGGTACAGTTGATGAACTAGACTTACGTCTCATGTCCTCCCCCGTGAATGATATGACCTATCATCCTGTAAGGTGGGTACAGTTGATGAACTAGACTTACGTCTCATGTCCTCCCCCGTGAATGATATGACCTATCATCCTGTAAGGTGGGTACAGTTGATGAACACTGAGCCAGCTCTTGGTCTATAGTCTGTAGTCCCCTTATGTAGAATAAGGTTAGCAGGGCACGCGTGAGTGTGTACCAACTATGCTTGTTGATACATATAATAAAAAAAAAGCGAGGAGCAATAATAAACTATTTAACTACACAAGTCCTTTAGTTGTAAAGCTTCTAGCAATGTTGTAAAGCTTTGAATAAATCAAGTTGTAATTATCAAAAGAAGGCGTAAAGCCAGGAAGGCTTTACGGAGCATGTAGAGTAATTAAGTGAGTTTTTAGTGAAAGTAAACACGAAACTACTTGGAATACAAGTCATCGTTTACGAGGCGACGTAGAATGCAAGTAACGGAACACGAGGTGACGTCGAATGCAAGAAGTACAAGAACACGAAGATACGTGGAACACAACAGAACACGAAGATGCGTGGAATACAACAGAACACGAAGCTATAACGTGGAATACAACAGACCACGAAGCTATACGTGGAATACAACAGAACACGAAGCTATAACGTGGAATACAACAGAACACAAAGCTATACGTGGAATACAACAGAACACGAAGCTATACGCGGAATACAACAGAACTCGAAGCTATACGTGGAATACAACAGAACACGAAGCTATACGTGGAATACAACAGAACACTAAGCTATACGTGGAATACAACAGAACACGAAGCTATACGTGGAATACAACAGAACACGAAGCTATACGTGGAATACAACAGAACACGAAGCTATACGTGGAATACAACAGAACACGAAGCTATACGTGGAATACAACAGAACACGAAGCTATACGTGGAATACAACAGAACCCGAAGCTATACGTGGAATACAACAGAACAAGAAGCTATAACGTGGAATACAACAGAATACGAAGCTATACGTGGAATACAACAGAACCCGAAGCTATACGTGGAATACAACAGAACACAAAGCTATACGTAGAATACAACAGAACACGAAGCTATACGTGGAATACAACAGAACACGAAGCTATACGTGGAATACAACAGAACACGAAGCTATACGTAGAATACAACAGAACACGAAGCTATACGTGGAATACAACAGAACACGAAGCTATACGTGGAATACAACAGAACACGAAGCTATAAAGTGGAATACAACAGAACACGAAGCTATACGTGGAATACAACAGAACACGAAGCTATACGTGGAATACAACAGAACACGAAGCTATACGTGGAATACAACAGAACACGAAGCTATACGTGGAATACAACAGAACACGAAGCTATACGTGGAATACAACAGAACACGAAGCTATACGTGGAATACAACAGAACACGAAGCTATACGTAGAATACAACAGAACACGAAGCTATACGTGGAATACAACAGAACACGAAGCTATACGTGGAATACAACAGAACACGAAGCTATAAAGTGGAATACAACAGAACACGAAGCTATACGTGGAATACAACAGAACACGAAGCTATACGTGGAATACAACAGAACACGAAGCTATACGTGGAATACAACAGAACACGAAGCTATAACGTGGAATACAACAGAACACGAAGCTATACGTGGAATACAACAGAACACGAAGCTATACGTGGAATACAACAGAACACGAAGCTATAAAGTGGAATACAACAGAACACGAAGCTATACGTGGAATACAACAGAACACGAAGCTATACATGGAATACAACAGAACACGAAGCTATAACGTGGAATACAACAGAACACGAAGCTATAACGTGGAATACAACAGAACACGAAGCTATACGTGGAATACAACAGAACACTGGCCAAAGCAACACTTGTAGCCTTGGGAAAAATAATTATAGCCACGAAAAATAATTACTTGTGACAGCCTATTGTGAAAGTTTCGTCAGGATGGACTCGTTACGTCATTTCAAGACGACAATTAAGCTATGGGCTGACTCAGCCGGCACATGTTGGACAAAATGACGTTGATTTAACGTTGGATCAACGTCGATAACGTTGGATCAATGTCGATAACGTTGGATCAACGTCGATAACGTTGGATCAACGTCGATAACGTTGGATCAACGTCGATAACGTTGGATCAACGTCGATAACGTTGGATCAACGTCGATAACGTTGTATCAACGTCGATAACGTTGACTCAGTGGTTCAACTCAAGTATGTTGTGCCCACTGGGGAGAATGCAGGTGAGAATTCCCCTCCTATAAATTACGTCTGAATTTAGCCGTTTGTCCGTATGGCCAAAAATGGACGTAATTTGAAAATTAAAAAAATTTGAAATTAAATTTTGGATTTTTTGTTTCCAAAACAGTAAGTTAAGAGTCTTCTGATAGGTTAGGAGGGCAGGAAATTCTCCTAAAGTTTCAAAACGTCATGAAAAAAAGTTGATTTGTAAGTTTCCTTTCCTAACCATACCGAGTAAGCCAGAGGATTCAAACAAAAAACGGGGACAGTACGTCACTTTTATGAGCCGATTTCATTTCAAAATACGTCTTTTTTTGGCCATAGCGCGCATATGAGCGAAAAGCGACGTTATTTTTAAGAGGACGGGTTGTACTTGTATAGAACGGAGACGGAAACGCCCCCCCCACACACAACGTTACTACGAGCCTAATTTTTACGTTGTAATAACGTTGCTACAACTTTATTTTTGTTTAAATAGCAGAACCCATTATCGTAAATTCTAGAATCTATTATTAAATAGCAAAGGTCATTAATAAATATAGCCATAACTCATTATTATAAAATAGAGCCAATTATTAATTAGCAGAGTCTTGAGAATAAGAGAAGAGAAATAAGAGGTTACATAGACTCACTACATTAAACCATTTAACTCTATAGGCTTGTCAACAATAGAGTCCACCCCCCCTAATAGGTATGCGAAAGAGGTCACGGGAAGAAAATTGGATTGCTACCACTGTTGGTAAGGGCGACAGGTCAACGCGATTACAAAAAATATTTTCAAGTGGGTGACGTAGGAGAGAGTCCTGAAAGTGGGGGGTCCCAAGACGCGAGAGTGTCTTGAGCACTCAAACTTGCATCATCATTATCATCATCATCATCATTATCATCATCATCATCATTATCATCATCATTATCATCATCATCATCATCATCATCATCATCATCATCATCATCATCATCATCATCATCATCATCATCATCATTATCATCATCATCATTATCATCATTATCATCATCATCATTATCATCATCACCATCATCATCATGTAGGCTACTCAGATCACCAGCAACACCTTGAGTACTCACCCTCCAGCATGATCTTCACTACTCAACTTCGACCAAACATCTTGACTGTTTAATCTCTAACAGCATCTTTATTTCCATCAGTATCTCGACGAGGTAATTTCCTCGATCGAGCTACTTGATTAGGTAATCTCCACAACCATCTTGATTGGCTAATCTCCACCAGCGTCTTCACTAGCTAATCTCCACCAGCGTCTTCACTAGCTAATCTCCACCAGCATCTGGACAAAGTAATCTCCACCAGCATCTGGACTATGTAATCTCCACCAGCATCTGGACAAAGTAATCTCCCCCAGTATCTTGACTAAGTAATCTCCCCCAGTATTTTGACTAAGTAATCTCCCCCAGCATCTTGACTAAGTAATCTCTACCAGCATCTGGACTAAGTAATCTCCACCAGCATCTGAACTAAGTAATCTCCCCCAGCATCTTGACTACTGAACCTCAAGCAGCATCTTGACTACTGAACCTCAAGCAGCATCTTGACTACTGAACCTCAAGCAGCATCTTGACTACTGAACCTCAAGCAGCATCTTGACTACTGAACCTCAAGCAGCATCTTGACTACTGAACCTCAAGCAGCATCTTGACTACTGAATCTCAAGCAGCATCTTGACTACTGAACCTCAAGCAGCATCTTGACTACTGAACCCCCAGCATCGTCTTGATGACTGAACCCCCAGCTTCATCTTGACAACTCAACCCCCAGCATCATCTTGACAACTCAACCCTCAGCATCATCTTGACAACTCAACCCCCAGCATCATCTTGACAACTCAACCTCCAGCATCATCTTGACAACTCAACCCTCAGCATCATCTTGACAACTCAACCCTCAGCATCATCTTGACAACTTATTCCTCAGCATCATCTTGACAACTCAACCCCCAGCATCATCTTGACAATTCAACCCCCAGCATCATCTTGACAACTTATTCCTCAGCATCATCTTGACAACTCAACCCCCAGCATCATCTTGACAATTCAACCCCCAGCATCATCTTGACAATTCAACCCCCAGCATCATCTTGACAACTTATTCCTCAGCATCATCTTGACAACTCAACCCCCAGCATCATCTTGACAATTCAACCCCCAGCATCATCTTGACAATTCAACCCCCAGCATCATCTTGACAACGCAACCCCCAGTATCATCTTGACTACTGAACCTCCAGCATCATCTTGACTACTCAACCCCCAGCATCATCTTGACTACTGAACCTCCAGCATCATCTTGACAACTCAACCCTCAGCATCATCTTGACTAGTGAACCCCCAGTTAGTCCTTTTTTGACTAGGTAATTTCCACCAGCATCTTGACTAAGTAATCTCCCCAAGCATCTTGACTAAGTAATCTCCATCAGCATCTTGACTAAGTAATCTCCATCAGCATCTGGACACAGTAATTTCCACCAGCATCTTGACTAAATTACTTTTATGTCGGATATATATTCAGATCGGTAAATATATTGCCATATTTGTGAAGGATATTCTTAGTCATGATGGCAATGACTAGAGAAGAGAGCGTGGGCCGCCTTAGAGAAGTGTGTGAGCAGTGTCAGGTGAACATTTTCGGCCCCTCCTTCCTCTCCTTCGTCATGGACAAGGACTCCACCAGGATGCTGGGGTCTGGCGGCTACGGCAGCTGCCAGTTGGTCTCGGTCTCTTCTTCGCTGTGGGTCGCCAAGACCTGCTGGACCGCTCCCTATGGTACTCAAACGCTCATCCAGGAGATAAAGGCTCTGTCGGCGCTGCAAGGATTGGCTGGGGTGCAGAAGTTGATTGGTGTGTGCCCCGAGGCCCTCACCCTGATCACAGAATACTCCGGGGAGACCTGGTCGGATATACTCGAGCGCCGGCAGACCTCCGTACAGGTGTGTCTTGAGGTCAGCAGTCAGGTGTGCCGGATCATGAGTACCATCCATGCTCGGGGATGGATACACATGGATATAAAGGCCAACAATGTTTGCGTGAAGCGCACCAGCGAGGGTGTCCAGGCCACTCTTATAGACTTCGGCTTGGCTGTACAAGATGGCGCTCGGGTCAGCTTAGACCAGACTGCCTAGCAGTGCCTTCACATTGCTCCCGAGGTCGTAAAAGGCCACCCATGCACCCCCGCCAGTGACGTGTACAGCCTCGCCCGGTTACTACAGTACTCATCCCAGTACTGCTAGATCGACAACCATTTCTCCCTCCGGATGTGGGTGCTTCAGGCGCTGAAGCCACGGAGTAATCATCGGCCGGTGTTGACAACACTGATGGAACTATTTTCCTCGGCCCTTGTTAAAGAGGCGGGCAGGTCCTCGGGCCTTGTTAAAGCGGCCGGCGGGTCCTTGGGCCTTGTTAAAGAGGCGGGCAGGTCCTCGGCAACGGGTGCCGGCACCGGTGTGTGAGTGGGCAAGGTGACCCAGGACTACAGAGCCGTCACAGGGTGAGGGGGGGGGGACGTAGCCATGGATACCGTAGGCTGGACAACCCGTCCACAAGAATCTATACTTGTCCACAAGAGTCTACACTTGTCCACAAGAGTCTACACTTGTCCACAAGAGTCTACACTTGTCCACAAGAGTCTACACTTGTCCACAAGAGTCTACACTTGTCCACATGTAATTAAAATGATAATAAAGGTTAATGTCTATTTCTTATGGTTGTGTCAATATTAAAAAAATAAATGTGTGTGTGTGTGTACTCACCTAATTGTACTCAGCTAGTTATGCTTGTGTGGGGTTGAGCGTCGGCTCTTTAGTCCCGCCTCTCAACTGTCAACTGGTGTACAGGTTCCGGAGCCTATTGGGCTCTATCACATCTACATTTTAAACTGTGTATGGAGTCAGATTCCACTACATCACTGCCTAATGCATTCCTTTTGTTAACTACGCTGACACTGAAAAGTTCCCTCTAACGTCTCTATGGCTCATTTGAGTTTCCACCTGTGTTTCTTAGTGTGTGTACCACCCTTTTAAGTTCACAGAGAATCTTGCATGCGGTGATCAAGTCTCCCCTAAATTTTCTTTCTCCCAGCGACGCGAGGTTTAGTTCCTATACTCTCTCCTCGTAGCTCTTACTCCTCAACTCGGGTACCAGTCTGGTGGCAATCTTTTGAATCTTCTGCAATTTGTGCTTAATTAGATACGGGGTTTCACACTGGAGCTGCATACTCCAGCACTGGTCTGGCATATGTGGTATATATTGGTAATAAATGCTTCCTTAAACAGGTCTCTAAAGGCAGTTCTTATGCTAGCCAACCTAGCACAGACCGCTGATGATATCCTCTTGATATGGGCTTCAGGTGGCATCTAGCTAGATATCAACTCACAGGTCCTTCTTCTAGATACCCAGCCACTTGCACTGGACGTTAGAGCGACTGTGTCGCTTCATGCAGGTCGGCGTTCAATCCCTCGACTGTCCAAGTGGCAGGGCACCATTCCCTCCCCCCCCCCCCATCCCATCCCAAATCCTTATCCCGACCTCTTCCAAGTGCTATTAAGTCGTAATGGCTTGGCGCTTTCCCCTGATAATTAAAATTTAAATCTCCCAGATTCCCAAAGGATTTCATCTTCCAAATGGTACCCGGTATCTGGTCTCCTGCTCCCTAGCCCTGTATTCATTATTTTACATTTACCCGAATTAAACTTTAATAGTCACTTTTCAGACCATTGCTTCAGTTTGTCCAGGTCATCTTGATGCTTCATGCTGTCTTCCTCTGCCTTAATCCTTCTCATAATTTTAGCAACAGCAGCAAATATTGATACTAATAAGTCTGTTCACTCTGGAAAATCATTTACGACTATAAAAAAAGGATAGGTCCGAGTAGAGAACCCTGTGGGACTCCGCTAGTGACATCACGTCATCCTTACACCTCACCCCTCACAATTATCTTCTGATAATTACTTACTTTCCCTACCTGTTGCTCGTGCTTTTGTCTCCAACTTGTGCACCAGCGTCTAATAGGGTCCTGTGTCGAAGGCTTTCCGACAGTCCAAGAAAATACAGTCTGCCCAGCCTTTTCTTTCTTGCTTAATATTTGTCACCTGATCGTAGAATTTCATTAGACCAGTGAGGTTTATGGTCTGCCATCTCTGAACCCATGATGGCGGTGTGTCACGAATTAGGTCTCTTCTCTTCAGATGTGATACTAAGTTTTTCCTCACGCTCTTCTCCATCACCTTGCATGGTATACAAGTTAGGGCCACCGGCCTGTAGTTCAGTGCCTCTTGCCTGTCACTCTTTTTGTTTATTGGGACTACATTAACTGTCTTCCACATTTCTGGTAGGTCTGTTTCCAGTGACTATACAATTGAGAGTGACAAGCAAAGTGCTTCTGCACACTCTTTTAGTATCAATGGTGAGATTCTGTCACTGTGCTACAGCCTTTCTCACGTCCATATCCAACAGATACCTCCTAACTTCATCTCTGGAAATTTCGAACCCTTCCAAAGCTTCCCGGCTTGTTGCAACCTCTCCTTGCTCTACTGTGAAGACCTCCTGGAATTTCTTGATGATTTCTTTACACACCTCTCTGTCATTCTTTGTGTATCTGTCGTCACACATTCTCAGTTTCCTCAACTATTCTTTCACAGTTGTTTGCCTCCTGATGTAACTGTGGAACAGATTTGGGCAGGTCTTGGCTTTATTTGCTATGTCACTTTCAAACTGTCTCTCTGCCTCTCTTCTTACACTGAGTTATACATTCCTGGAGCTCTGGAATTGTGACATATCCAGTCTATACCCCTCTAACAGTTTTGGCTCTAACTTTTGCTTTGTATGTGGATATATGTGTATGTGGATATATGTGTATGTGGATATATGTGACTTCCAAACCACATAGCAGAAAAGTGAAGAAACGACAGTGTTTTGGTCCGTCCTGGATCATTATCAAGTCGTGTAACTGAAAGAGAGTGGACAAGACAAAAAATGTGATGGGAGAGAGAGAGAGAGGCATGAGAGGTGGGATGAATGCAAGAGAAAGTTGACGGTAAGAATAAGATGCAAGATAAGAGTAAGATGAAAGAATAATTCGAGGAAAGGAAAGAATACGATGAAATTAAAGAATAAGACACACACATGGATATACAGGTCAACAATGTCTGCTCGCAGCGCACCAGCGAGGGTGTCCAGGCCACTCTTATTGACTTCGGCTTAGTTTTAAACTTACAATGGAATTAATAAAGGAGCTTATCTATAATATAGCATCTATAACAATTCCTGCATTAGTTGTAATCTTGAATTTTTCATGTAAATAAATGAAAGGTGACAAATTAACATTTCAAGATAGATACTGATAAATGATCCCCCCTCCCCCACGTTCACATAGAAATCAAAATAGATAAAGCATTCAACTAAATATCTGGACACCAATTCCTGTACTCTTCCTACCAACAAAATACATGTAGCAAAATTCCAAAGTTGTGTATATAAAACTTATAAGCATAATAAGATACTTCAACAATATATAACAAAGAGAAGTAGATACAACATGTAAGAATTACAAGTTGTATATATTAACTTTATGAGCATAATAAGCTCCTGGAAATATATATAATGCAGAGGGGAAATAGAAATATGCAAAAATTACAACTTGTATATATGAGCTTTATAATCTTAATAAAATAAGGCAAAATAATGTTATAAGCTTCCTTGCCTGCACTGAATCATTATTTTCGACTTTCACCAAGTCAACAAGTATTTGTGGCCTAGGATGGTTAGGGAAGGTAAAATTGCAAGCGATGAGTCACAATAACGTGGCTAAAGTATGATGACCAGACCACACTAGAAGGTGAAGGAACGACGACGTTTCTGTCCGTCCTGGACCATTCTCAAGTCGATCAATGGTCATCAAGGTAAAATTGTCAGGAGAAAGCCGGGTACGAAGAGTCAATCTTACGTTAAACACGTCTCCCCATAGACTGTAACGGTAACGATACGTCATCAGTATATTGAAACACTATTGTTATCATAGACTGTATGGCAACAAAACCTAGTCATCTAAAAATAATCAGCCAACCACTAGGCTACAAGCGTTGCTTATCCTACACATGGACGCGAGGATCCAACATGGCTGGCCACAGATTGCGCATCATCTACATGCTCTCCAATCCCCCCTGTCGCCCCCGTATTATTTGACATCAGATTGCATAGCGAGTTTATATATACTGGAGTTTAAGTTGGAGGGAGGCCCGCCCTTCAGAGGACGGATGGAGAGTCTTTAGAGGGTTCCAACAATGTGAGCAACATCTACGTCCAGGGTAGTTGGTTCGCGCTCTCGCTCCAACCAAGCCCATCCTCCTGAAATGATAATACTTATAGTAACTATTTAATCGAAAGTACCACTTTCGTAACTATATATACATATATATAATACTGATAAATGTGTGTGTGTTGTGGTTGAAATTGTTTCCTGTTTGTACAAATTCAATAATACAAAAATGAACTTTCCTGCAGTCCATCAGTGCACGCGACGTTTGTACTTTCGACCAAATAGTTAATATAAGTACTTTCAGTATAGGAGGCTAGGCTGCTGTCACCTGTCCTCAGGCTAGGCTGTTGTCACCTGTCCTCAGGCTAGGCTGTTATCGCCTGTCCTCAGGTTAGGCTCTGTACTATTCCCGCCAACCGTTCCAGTGTTATATCCTTATACCAGTTTATAGAAATACTCTCCTCTATACTGACATATGACTTTGATTTATAGTTATAGTTATTAGTACTACAATGTACTCAGTAATATTTATCTTTTAAACGTTTCCTTCATTTTACAAAGTATCTCTCACATTGATCACGCATCTTCCTAGCACTCATACTTGTCGCTGCCCTTGACGGCACTGTCAAGCGTGGCCAATCTCTCCGCTGTAAGGTACGGGATTGAACGCCGTACCCTAGAGTATCGCTAACAACACCCGCTCTTAATGTCTTATAAATAATGGAAGTGCAGGGATCTATATAGCAATAATCACCAGTTCTAACTACATGGGACAAGAAATACACCTTGGGGTACAATTTTTACAAAAGGGTTTTTATTAAAAAAAAATACCAGATTTTTTCACACTGATTAGAACAGGGGGGGGGGGGT